GGGCGCGGGCGGCCAATGGTTTAGGGTTAGGGGGTATGTAGGCCTGTTTGCAAAGCCCAATGTGCTGTGTCAATATGGGAGTTTCCGAAAACAGGGACCCTAGTATAGCGGCTTATAGCGCCCTAAATAAGAGGATCCATATTATGAGGACCCACCCTAAATACGGTCCACACCCTGGGCTTTAACCTCTGAACCAGCTTTATTTTTCCTCCAGGAGCACACTGGGAGGCTCGAATGACTTAGCATCTCGATCGGGTTTCGGGTTGGGGGTTTAGGGTTTAGGGTTTTGGGTTTAGGGGTTTAGGGTTTAGGGTTGAAGGTTTAGGGGTTTAGGGTTCTTAGCATCTCGATTTCCTCCTGGGTTTCCCAGTCCCTGAATAAGAAAGGAACCCTTCTTCCTGCTACCCGGCTTTCATAACTCAAAGGGGAAAAGGAGGGATCCTATCATGGGCTATATCATGGGTATATAATGGCTATATTTAGGGTATCTACCTAGCGGTCCTTATTAAGGGTCCCTCCTTTTACCCTTGGACAACATGAAAAGGGGGGAAGAACACTCCTGGGAAAGACCTGGGCCTACATAGTATCCCCGGAGACTAGGGACCTATAAGGGATCTCTAGGGGTTAGGGTTTAGGGGACTCCAATCTCCCTTTATTAGGAATATACCTTAAATCATCGTAGGATCCCTAATATGATTTAAGGAATATTCCCTAAGTAAGTGGTATTGGAGTCTCTGGGTCCCCAGCATGCTCCACAGCCCTGCAAGAGTCCCCCCCATAGTAGAGGGGCCTTACATGACAGAATACAGTTCTGGGGGCGTACATTATCCTGACCAGATAAGGACTATAAGGGGATACCATTACTAAGCATTCCGGGCCCTACTAACTACAAGGATCCTACAACAGCAGTCCCCAAGACCCCATTCTACTGAGCCCCAGTTTGAAGGCCTTAACGGTTAGAAAAGGGTTTTGGGGTATATTTGGGTGGTTGTCAAAATTATGGTCCCCTTTCGAGTCCCTATTATAATACGGCACCTATCATTTAGGGTACCCAAAAAGGGACCATAATTTTGACAACCATCCATTTGTTTCTATTAAGGAGCCCTACGGTCTAGCAGTAACAATTCTTCAATGCCTTGAACCTTGACTCTAGACCCTAAACCCTAAGCCCCCTAAGCCCTTTGACCCTAAACCCTAAACCCTAAGCCCTAAACCCTCAACCCTTAACTCCTAAGCCCTAAGCCCCCTAAGCCCTAAGCCCTGTAATCAAACCCAAGAAGCCCCAAAGTGCCTGAACTTCGGGAAGCTTTCGGCTTGGGATTTTAGGGGCTAGGGTTCAGGGTTTAGGGTTCAGGGTTTAGAATTCAGGGTTTAGGGTTCAGGGTTTAGGGTGTAGGGTTTAGGGTTTAGGGTCTAGGGTTCAGGGTTCAGGGTTTGGGGGGTTAGGGTTTAGAGGTTTCGGGGCTTATGGTTTAGGGTGTAAGGATTCGGCTTCGAAGGGTTCGGGGGTGGGAGTTTAAGGTTTCGGGTGGGTGAGGGCTCGGGTTGTAAGGGTTTAGGGGTTTGGGGCTTTGGGAAGGGCCCGAGGTCTAGGGTTCTGGTACAAACCAATATAGACCGCGCCAGGGGGCTATACAAGATATTCCCAGGGACTCCAATATCCCCTTAATTAGGGAATATACCTTAAATCATAGTAGGATCCCTAATATGACTTAAGGAATATCCCCTAGCTAAGGGGTAATGGAGTCCCTGGGTTCTTTGCTGACGATGCAGAAATGTAAATAGAAATCTAGGAGGGTGCTTTTAAAGCCTTTGAACACTATAGTAGGTAAGATCCGCTTAAGCCCAATAAGAGCAAATATAATATGGGAGTTTCCGAAAATAAGGGACCCTACTATAGCACCCTAAATAGTAGGATCCTTATTATAAGGACCCCAAAATAAGGTACCCCTATTTTTCGGAAACTCCCGCCTAGAAATCCTAGAGTTCTTTGGCCTGGAGTCTACGGAGAGATTGGGCTTCAGGCCCAGCGCTGCCATGTCCTTACAGATACCATACCCCCCTTAGAACCATATCATAAATAATATTTGGAATATTCTCTTAGGTTCTATATGAACAAAAATAGAAAGTAATTCCTAAGGAGACCATGGGAGATGTCTACTCATACCTATAGAACCCTTACAGAAAATCCCTCTGAAACCGTATAGAGAACCCTGGACCCTAAACCCCAGAATCCCAAAGCTTACTCCCAGAATCCGACACCCTAAACCCTAAAGCCAGAATCCTAAGCCCTAAACCCCTTTTATGGGTAGTTGTCAAAATTCTGGTACCTTTTTGGGTCCATCTTATAGTACGGCACCTAATGTTAAGGGTACCCAAAAAGGTACCATAACAACCACCCATATACAACTCCAAGAAAGCGACCTGCAACGGCCACCCCGGCATAGTCGCCCACAGAGCTCCGCCAATCCGGTGCCGCCGTCTCCCACAGGGGCTTATAGGGTGTTACAAGGCTTTGTAGGGTTTAGGGTGTAGCTCTCTTCTTCAACAACCGGGCCCCAAATAGTTCAGACTTTCTAAGATCGAGCTAATATGAGAGGCCAAAAAGTTTAAAGTTCCGCCGTTCACTATCTAAGTTAGGGTGGGGGTTAGGGTGGCGTTTAGGGTCTGGGGTTTAGCAGGGTTTGGGGTTTAGGGCTTGGGAGGGTTTCGCATGATGTGAGGGCCTTTGCATGGTCTCAGCGTTGTGGGGGTTTGCAGGGGTCAGGAACTTGAGTTGGTCGACCAAGCTATAAAAGGATATCGCAGATTAGCAGATAGTAATGATCATATTCTTCCCGTATGATTTAGGTCCTTGGCAAGATGCAAGGCAACAGGAATTAAGGGCTTTTTGGCTCCTGGGGTCTCCTCGTAGGGCTGTAGGGCAACAAGAAATCACGGCAATTACGACGGTCGGCACATCCACATGGACGGGAAATGGCAGGGACAACACACAGACCACAGCACGGGAAGAGCCTCGTGAAGCGAGAGTGGCATCCAGCAGTTTAGGGTTAGGGTTTAGAGTTTAGGGTTTTGGTATCGACAGGGATTACCGACCTAAAGACCGCATTACAAGTACCGGGATGAAACCTTGAAGAGTAGCGCCAAGTTCGCAGCAGGCTTTAAGCTTGCGGTGATGCAAACACCGATAGAGAACAGGTTCAGCGACGCTTAACTTGAGACAAACACGACCGAGGTGCTCTAACATAGCAGACGACTATTGCAAACACGACACGGACGAAAAGTACGATGAGGACGACTGTGATGATGATGATGCTGCTGTTGGAGGTGGCAGCAGTGGTGCTGGCGATGGTGGGGATGGTGGTGAAGTTGGTGGTAGTGGTGCTGGAAATGACGATGATGACGAAAACACTGATCCTATGATTTTTCCTTCTGCGCCTCATCACGAGCAGCATCGTTACCGCCCTCACCATCATTACCGGAAGAACAAGAGCAGCTACGGCAGTAGAGCGCCTAAAGGCACATGCGTAGCTCTCGTACCAGCAGTGCCAACGACTTCAATGAAGGAATGAAACGAACAACCACACCCCCATGAACCCTGATTCCTTGACCCGAAATCCTTAATCTCACCTGCAACACATTTTCACCCCTAGGTTCAAAGATGATCCTCAGCGTTTAGACTGTTCCATTGTTCAGGGTTGGTGTAAGGCTTTAGAAGAGTGGGGCTGGGGGCGGAAATAGGGCTAAGAGGGTTTTAGGGTAAAGGTTTTAGGGTTTAGGGTTTAGGTTTTAGGGTAAAGGTTTTAGGGCTTGGGGCGTATGCAGGGATGACGGGGTGAGTGTTGAGGCTTTGGGCTGACGGTAGGCACCTTGACTATCACGCTGGGTCTTGGGGCATATTATCGTGAGGATATCGCCAATCATTTCTATAAACCCTAAACCCTAAACCCTTAACCCTAAACCCTAAACCCTCAAGAAAGAAATAAATAGAAAAATTCCGACCCGCTTTTATTGCTAGTGCTGCTGTCGTACGGTGGCAGGCCTCGCTCTTAAACCAGGAAATCAGGCCCTTTCGGCGAGCATAGTCCTGAGGTTTAGGGTTTCCTTAAAGGGATCTATAGGGCTTCCTTTAAAGGGATCCATAAGGGCTCTATAAGGGATCTATAGGGCTTAGGGTTTAGGGTTTAGAGGGTTTACGGGTTTAGGGGTTTTAGGGGTTTAGGGGTTTTAAGGGTTTTAGGGGTTTTAGCGGTTTTAGGGGGTTTAGGGGTTTAGTGGTTTTAGGGGTTTTAGGGGTTTTTAGGGGGTTTTAGGGTTTTGAGGTTCGGGGTTTTAGGGGTTTTAGGGGTTTAGGGGTTTTAGGATTTAGGGGTTTCGGGGTTTTAGGGGTTTCGGGGTTTTAGTGGTGTTCAAGGGTTTTAGGGGTTTGAGGCGTTTGGTGGTTTAGGTTGAAGATTGCACAGGAAAGGTTGACCGGGACTGGGCTCCTCGTTCGTGGCTTTTTTCTTACCTCTGGTTAGTAGGGAATGGAGGAATCGGGTACAAGTATAACTACTATTACTACCATTCTTCCATTCCCTACTGACTAACCAAACGTAAGTTTTTTTGGGGTGGCTGAGGGAAAGTTTAGGGGTTCAGAGCGACTCCGGGGGGGGGGGGGGGGTTAGGGTTGCAGGGTTTTCGGGTTGCTTTAAGGGTTAGAATTTTAAATAGTAGGATCCTTATAATGAGGATCCCAAAATATGGTACCCCAGGGTTGCCTTAAGAATCTTCTGGTCTTCTATAGCTGGGCTTAGAGCTTCAGGGGAACAGAAAACCCCAGGACGCAGTACGTGGGTTTTAAAGTATTCAACTGAGAAAACATGATCGCACAAAAGCCCGTCTCTTTTCGGCTACAAAGGGGCCCCCTGTGAGCATTAGTGCCGCGGTCGGTCGCAACAGTGACATGTCGATTTGCACGTCAGTTGCATGGAAAACACATCCCTTCGAATGTTGCTGTTTCAGCGATCGACGGGTGTGCAAAGGCCTTCTATGTCGCCGGAAAAGTCGTCGGGCCATTGCACCATTGCTGCAGCTTCTTTCTCCTGCTGAGCTTTCCGAAGACGCTGCTGCTTCCGCGCACTGACGAACTCCTCGTTGAACCTGACGATCCACGACTTGCGGCTGTGGTACAGAGCCGCGGCTCGGAATGCCTCGTGAGTGGCCTTGGTCAGGCTGTCGGCCAGGTTCAAGTCACTTGGCACCCACGTAAGGTAGCACTTGCCGTCGTCTCTCAGTCCCTTCTGCACTGCAGTCGCCTCGATGCCTGTCCTGGCATTGTTCATCCCCAGCAGAGGAGAATCCGAAGAGGTGATGGCATCATACAGGCCACGAGAGTCCGTGATCAGGAGGGACTCCATAGAAGAGGCGAGGGCGGCTGCATTAGACCGCGTCAGCTCTTTGCCATTTAGCAGGGCCCAAAACAGTCGACACTTCCATCCTTTGTCCTCCGCCTCAAAGATGGCTTGGGACTCCGTTCCGTTCGTGCCCTTGGCCGGGCGGTCCAGCTTCCACGAGCGCCAGTCTAGCACACTGACCTTGGTCTCGTTGCCGCCGAGGATCTCCGGAGCAGCAAACCCGGTCAAGTAGCCTCCTGTGGATCCGCCGTCTGGGCGGTTGTTGTTCCCGGCATCTCCGAAGTGCAGGGCAACGAGGTCATTCCAGGCAATCTTCTGCTCGCGGCCGTAGTTAAAGGAGTGGAAGACCATGTCTTCCTTGGCTGATTTCTTCAGCTCTCTCATCATGGCGTTGGCTTCCCGGAGGTGTGCCACTGTCGCCTTGTTCACGGCCGAAGCTGCCATTCCCACTCTGGCGCAGTACTGGAAAGCCGACTGCACGGCACGCCATTGGGCCTTCATGGTAAGACCCCTGAACTGGGAAACCTCCTTAGGAGTCAAAGGATCTGAGTCCCCCCGGCTTTTGTCGCCAGTGATCTCGATCGGGGTGAGCGCGTTGCAGTACGCCTCCTGGGTCACCCGAATCTCATAGTTCTTGAGCTGGCGCACCTCCAAGCCGGCAAAGGTGAAGTGCCCGGTCTTCCATGGAGACCAGGAGTACATCTTCTTGATCCGCTCCCGGATGTCCATCCACTCTGGGTCTTCATGGTCTCCACAAATCAGGAAGTCATCCACGTGTGTTCCAACGCGCCCTATGACGCGCCCTTCCTTGTTCCGGAATATCCAGATACATCGGTCAATGTCATGTGGCCTTCCGCCCAAGGCTCGCATCTTCTCGTCGACGTCGAGCCAAAAGATGCGAGGAGCGTTTGTCAGGCCATAGACGGCCCCGACCACTTCCATGAGTGACCCCGGTGTCAATCCCAGCGCCTTGGCCAGTTCCGGGACTCCCTTGGTGAACAAGGGTTCTGTGCCGATGCCCTTGTCGGCCTGTAGGAACGCACTCTTGGCATCAGCGCACTCTATGGTATGTTGGTCCAGAGCAGCGGCTTGGAGCAGCATGCACCTGCCCAATCGCGACAACGTTGGGCTCGCCGTAAGCAGCTGCTGTTGCCCAGTGCGGCTGTCCCGTCGCGCCAAGTCTGGGTGCTTGTACCCGATCAACACGATACGTGCCTTGGCCTTGTGCTTGCCATCGGCGCTGGACACCTCGTTCTTGGAGCTCGTTGGCGGGCTTCCATCCGGTACTGGCTTCCAGGTCAGGATCCACCTCATGGGAATGAGCCGGTCACGCACTTGATCCTCTGAAAGCCCCTCTGAAGCCGCCTTGATCGCCATCGAGCGCAGGACCTCAGAAATTTCTCTTGCCATGGCCTCGTCCATTCGGGCCTTGTCGTCGTGGTTGAGGTTCCGGTAGTTGACCTCCTTCGCCGCGGTGCTCGAGGCCAGCTTGGCCTTCGAGTAGGTCGCGCTGCTCGCCACGAACAGGTTGAGGTCCTCCACGTCAAACTCAACGACCATGGCCTCTTCGTTACGATCACATGCTCGACGCACTGCCCTCACAAGGTCCTTCTCCTCCTGGCGCATCCTTCGGAGCTCCAAACGTAGCTTGTTGAGCGACACCCCTTGGCTGGTCTCCTGCTCGAGCTGCTCTATCCTCCTCTGTACCAGGGCAATGGTCTCTGGATCCAGACGGGTCACTCGGTCGGACTCTGCTAGATCATATCTGTCTGGCTGTCTGCCTGAGGGCCCCAGTGAAGAAGGTGAAGTCGCGGAAGCAGCTCGTTCTGGTTCAGCTGCCTGCTCTAAGCTCATAACAAGCCCCAGTGAAGAAGGTGAAGTCGTGGAAGCCGCTGGTTCTGGTACCGGCCGGCTGCTTGTAGCTTCGTCTCCTTCTTCTCGGGGTGTCGGTGGTGGTGTGCTCTCCTTCTGCTTCTTTCTAGTGGTTGCTGCCGGTGGCTGTTCGAACTCTTTGCGCTTGGGGTACAGGACGTCATATCCCTCCTTAATCTCCAAGGAGGTGGTTCCTCTCCAGCGCTTGGCGTGGCTGCGCTCTGGGTCCGATCGCGTGCCAAACCATTTGTCCACAAAGCTGCCGCCTTGACCCTTGGGGTCCGTCCATATAGTCACACGCTTGCCGGTGAACTGGTCGGCGGGAACCGGGCAGCTGGCCATCCCGGTCGGAACAAAGAGCTTGCTTCGCCATTGGTTGTGGTGCCTCAATAGCAGGCGCCTCTCCATGTCGAGCTCCCACGTGTCGGGCACCTCTGCGTTGGCAATCTCAGGTGGCATGCGAGTCATTCGTGGCATGCCGTCCAATGTCCGACCTTGGTTTGCCGCCGTCATCTGCTGCCATCGGGCCACCTGCTCGCGCACAGAAACAGACGGTCGGCCAGCCAGGCTTCCAGACCTTCCGGGCGATCTGCTTCGAGTGGGGGACTCTGAGCGTGTAGCGGCTGCCTGTGCCGAACGCCCGGCCCATTCATCGGCCGCGTTCTCCAGGTTGCCCTCCCACTCTTCCATGGGCTGTGCTTGGGATGCCGCCGGGTTAGGTTCCGGCGCTCCCTCCGGCCACGGTTGCTCCGGAAGTCCATCGCCTTCAGGTTTGTCCTTCTCCCGAGTCACGTCCACAAAGCGGCGCAGCCCCTTCATCACGTTCTCCACCGGTTGGGCCACCACGTCGCCCTTCGCCAGCAACTCTGTAATCACTTCTTGCTCGCTTGCCATGCGTAGTTGTTCCGGGGCGCACCTCCAAAGCGAAGTGCCCATCAGCACCCAGATCACCGACACACGGCCGTCGGGTAAGACAGGTGGTTCCAGCAAAGCCACCCGACCGGGCCCGATGAAGCGAGCTTCTGGGTTGACCGTTGTTGGTCCTCTGGCCCGCCTTGCCTTCAAAGTCGCATTCCTCCAGACGCACACCCAGTCACCTATGCGGTAGTCCACCAACGGTCTGGGCGCCGCATTGTGCAGCCTGGTGAAGGTCTCCCGGGCCAGCTCTTGTCGATGTATTTCCTCAGCCTTGGCACGCTGGCGCTGCAGTTCCCAGAAGCCTTCGGGGCGCTCACCTTGATGCATGTTCACCTGCAGCGGGTCCGCCTCCTGTCGCCAAGCTGAGGGGTTCGAGCCGAACGCCCATTGCATCGGGGTGAAGCCTTTCACCGACTCTGTCTGATTGTGGGCGGCTGCAGCAATGTGCCCACAGAGCTTCGTGTCGAGCTCCGTGTTGTCATTCCTGAGCCGGCGCATGGTCTTCTTGATGGCCTTCACGGCGGTCTCAACGGCCCCGTTTTGCCAGTGGGCCTCTCCAGGAGTGGTTGCCAGACCGCAACCGATCCAGCCACAGAAGCCGGCGAAGTCGCCCTTTGCCAAAGATGACTGGGGGTCGGTCAGGATCCACTCTGGCTTGGGCCGGTGTTGCAACCAGGATCCAGCGAAAGTCTCCACCAGCTTTTGCCCGCTATCCGTGCCAGATTCATTCAAAGGACCGACCCACACCTGCTCCACCATAGCCAGCGCATCGCCAGGCAGATTGCCAGCAGGTACCGGGCCTTCCGCTTTTGGGCCGGAAAGGGCAACTCGAAGAGGTCCATGCCAACCATTTGCCAGGGTGCCGGTTTCGTACCAAGGCTGTGCGGCACCTGCATCGTGCCGCCCCGTTTGGTGTCAAGGCAGGCCTGGCAGTGAAGGTTCAGAGCCTCATTCACGACCCAACGAGGTAGGCCACGGTCCCGGCAGATTCGTGCCAGAGCCCTGTTGGACGGGTGTCCGGCCGCCCGGTGCAGCCTGGTAAGCAATGCTCGGGCCTGTTGCCGCATCTGGTCTGTAGGGTCCACGTCCTCGGGCACGGCGACGTTGATCATGCTGTCGTCCTCTATCTGCTGGGCCGCCGCAATGGTGTTCCGAACCTCGTTGCCGTCGCGGGCCTTCATGTACTGCGCCTTCCATGCCTTCGCAATGTCCATCGCCGCCGGGTAGCCAGTGATCTCGGTCGGGTTCTCCTCCTCGCGCGGTCGTGGTTCATGAAGTCGTTCGTGGAAGGCCGGGTCGTTGTGGAGCACGGTCCGTGCACCCAGCTGGGTCCAGTAGTGGCGCTGGCCCCAGGCGGTCCATAGATCCTTCATAGCTCGGGTGCCGGCCGATCTCCATGTTCCGTGGGCCGCGGCAGGCATCTCCAGGTAGATCTGGGTCGTGCCGTTGGAGTTCTCGAGGCTCGCCTTGGCAATCTCCACAATGTGCGCCAGTTGCCTCCTGACCTTGGCCTGCTTCCGGCGAAGCTTGGCAAGGTCTCCTTGCAACTCCGGGGACCGTGGCATCACGCAAGACGGTGAAAACCAGATCTTCCATGGTCCCTGCTGCCACACCTCTCGCAACAAGTAGTTCACATGGTCCCTCTTGTTCAGGTCGTAGCCTTCTCCAAGCGACTTATCGTGCACCACCAAGCCACGGTGAGCACAAGCGCTTCTAAGGTTTCCTTCAGTCCTGCAAGCAACCTCCCACGCGTGTCGAGGCTGCACGGCATCCAAAATGGCTGCCAAATTGAATTCGTTGGCTGCAAAGTGCAGCTCCTGTGCTTTCTCGGACGGCAGGGGTTCATCATCTTCCATCCAAGTTTCCTGCTCCCCTGCCCCGGCGTCATCGGCCTCCGGGGCCGCGTCGTCGCTCACTCGGGCTCCGACTTCTCCGTCGCCTCCACCCGCTCGTAGCCGTCGAGATCCTCGTCCTCGACGACCACCGCCGTCTTCGGGTCCTTGTTCTTGGTGCCCCGCTTCGGCTCGGCCGCCGGCTTGGTCTTCGACTTCGGCTTGCCATACAGGAGGCGTTTCTCTCGCGCCACGATCTCGATCATCGACTTCACGTCCTTCGCCTCCAAGCCCGCCGGGTCGCGACCTTCCGCCCTCAGCCGGTCCAAGGCCTCGGTCACATTCATCGGCAGGTTGGTCTTGGTCGTCTGCCCAGGTGCGTCGCGAGCGGGGATGTACGAGACCCGATGCCCGCACACCGTGCATTCCGACCACTTGCCATAGCGGTTGGCGCCCGTGCCGTAGGAGTGCCGGCCCAGACATGGCCATTGGTCGGCCCGGCCACGGGGATCTCGCTCGTCCGGTCCTTGCTTGCGGGTGGTGTCGTACTCCGTCTTCTCCCCACTGCCTCGGCTGCGTCCTTTGCCCTTCGTCTTGGTGCTGGTGTTCTTCAGCTCCTCGGTGATCGTATTCTTCAGCTCCCCGGCAATCGCTTCCCGCACGGCGGCCTGGATCGCTGCCTTCATCTCGCTGGGCAAAGGGTCTCCGCTGCCGGTTGCCATGATCACGTGGCGATGGGGAGTTGCTGCTGTCTCGCTTGGCACATGTAGCGCCCATATTCCTCGAGCCCGTCAACAAGTAGCGGGTCTCATTCTCACTCAGCCCAAGGAAGCTTGACTGTTGTGCAACGCCGCCGGTCTCAAAATCACAAAAACTCACCAAGGCATGCTCACACTGTGCACCGGCAAGCTCCCCAGACTGCAACTCTAGCATGTAGCCGTTATGCTTTGCATCGGGTACGGAAAATGTCACATGTCTTTGGGCTGCTGGTTTGTAAAGGCTTGCCTTTGGGACCCACTTGTAGTTGACCTGCTCGTTCTTCTGTGCGGTTGCTGTTGCTCTGTCGGTTGAGGTTGTCCGCGGAGGGCTCACAGCGGTAGCGGTTGATGTCGTTGGGGTTCTCCAGGTCCTGGTGGTAGGTGTCTGCCAGCGGGGGCCCAAGGGACTTGATCTCCTTTGTGACGGTTGTCCTGCTGGTTGCCGTGCTGGTGGCTGTGCTTGGGGTCGAGGTTCAGGGAGAGCATGCTTGACAACATCAAGAACCAGGTGCCCCTTGGGTGTCCTACGAAGCTCCACCATACGATTTGATATGATGCACCGGCCCGTGGCACACCCGAGAAAGGCATTCATCTGACGAAGCTCGCGCATGCCCACAAGCACTGGCACCCCTTCGCTCGGCAAGGCAAACATGCTGAAGGACATACCCGCACATTCCAAGCACACTCGATAAAGAGCCCTTCCCCACTTCCCGCTGCCGTACCGGAAGTATGGCCTCTCGCTCTCGAACACGGTGATCTGAGTCTCTTGCCTAGCTGCGGCCACCGCTGCACAAAGCCGCTCGACAGCGTCTTGGCCTCCAGCCGTCGCCGTCGCACCGGTATCCACTAAGCCCTCAGATGCCGCCATTGTCGATGTAGAGCCGCGGGCCTCCGCTTCCGAAACCGTGGTGAAGAACTCCAGGCCGCCGTCAAGGTGGTATGCATGTGCCCACGTCGGCGGTCCTTTTGGGCCTTTGCTGGCCCCCTTGGAAAAAGGTTTGCCCTTCTTGCCCTGGCCTTTGCTCACCCAGTTGGCTTCTTCGACCAGCTTTGCTCCTTTCTTTCCGCCTCCTTTGCCGTGTCCCTTGCCCTTGTTGTTCTTGGACATATAGGTCGAGGTTGGCTTCGGCTGGCGCTGTTGTACTGAGCCCCAGCCCCGGTCCTTGGCAGCTGCTGCAACTGCCCTTCTCGCTTCCATCAGGTTCCGGTCGTTCTCCGCCAACATCGCCTCGATCTCCTGCCGCTGGTTCTCATACTCCCGCTGGTCGTCCTTCAAGACGGCATAGACCTCGTCCTCGATCTCCGCCTCGCCGGGGTCGGCCTCCTCCTCGGCCCAGTTGGCGCTCCATTCTTGGCCGGGCTCTGCCTCCGTGTAGTATCCCCACTGGGCCGGCTGGCCCCACCAATCGTCCATGTTCTCGCCGCCGTCGTCCTGGTACGTCACGTAGGCGGCGTCCGTGTAGTAGGCGCCGTCGTCCGCATACTCCCGGTCCAGCTCCACGTGGTAGGCGCCCTTGCCAGGAGCGAAAGTCCGGGCCGACTTGCCGCCGCGGTCCTCAAACATTGACAGCAAGGCTTGCCGAACCTCCTGGTAGCCAAGCCGGTTGCGCGTGGCGGCTTTTATCACCCGGCGTTCTTCTTCTGTTGAGGTCGACATCTCCAGCACCATCCAGCCCCTGATGACATCAAGGGCCGATAGTGCCATGAGGCCTTTCTCCATCAGACGCTCCAGCAGGTCCTTGCCCCGAGGTGGGGCTCCCTTCCAGGACCCTTTTTCGGATCCCTTGCCATGCCTTGAGCTCCTTCTCGAAGACCGCGAGCTGTGCCTCGATCGCCGGCCGCGGTCCTCGCTCTCGTCCTCCTCCGTCTCCGCCGGCTGCTCTCCGGCCTCCGGGTCAGGGTCCGCATCGTCGCCCTCCGGGGGCCCAAAGTAAACTGACTCGCCTTCCTGAATCCCACAAAAGCGCTTCAGCTCCTCCACATCTGTGTCATATCCCTCGAACACTAGTTCGCGCTCACGAAGCAATCGCTGAAGAGCCCTTAGCATATCATCATGCACCTTGTCCTCGCGGACCAGGAAGGAAGGCAGTGGCTCATGGTGTCGTCGCAGCAGGCGGCGGTAGTATGCCCCGATCTTGGTTCCTGCGTCCGGGAGCGGCTGCCGATTAAGCGGCCCTCGGTCGTGTAGTCATCGGGGTTCAACTTGTACATAAGCTGAACCAAAGTGCTGTGTCCACTCTGCAGCGCTTTCCGGATAATCCTCGCAGCTAACAGCGGTCGCTCCTCTCTCTTGGTGGCATACAGCGTCCACTTCACCTCAGTCACGAAGTGGGCGAAGTCCTCTGCCTTGCCGTTCCACACCGGAACGGCGTTCCTCTCTTCCCACCTAGGTGGGCCATCCGACGCCATCGTCGGTTCCAGCGGGGCCAAAGGTCCGCTGATCTAACCAAAGCTCCGGTGCCAATTCAACTGAGAAAACATGATCGCACAAAAGCCCGTCTCTTTTCGGCTACAAAGGGGCCCCCTGTGAGCATTAGTGCCGCGGTCGGTCGCAACAGTGACATGTCGATTTGCACGTCAGTTGCAAAGTAGACGTATACTGGGTTCTTGTTAAGGGATTTCGTTAAAGTTGCCAAAATAAGGAAACCATATTATTTACTATAGATCCCTATTGCGGTAATGTAGGAACCTGATCAAGAAACCCTGGCCCTATAACCCAAATGTATTCGGAGTCATATAAGGCACCCGAATAACCACCCAAAGGTTTCCTGATCAGGTTCCCATATTAACTGAAACTAAACACCTTCCCAGACCCCCGGCAGGATAAAGAAAGTAGATCCCCTAATTTGGAGCCCTCTTCTACTAAGGGTCCTTTATAGGAACCCCCCATTAAGGGATCTACTTATTGCATCCTCCCGGGGTCTGTGCTAACAAGAACCAAGTATAAGTCCCCGGGGCTCGAGCTCTCGTGTCTCGGTCCGACTTACTTAGGGTTTAGGGTTTAGGGTTTAGGGTTTCTGCTTCATTAGCGTCAGAAGCCCCTTTGCTCCTCGAAGACATGATGGCTTCGGGGTGAGTATAGGGGCCAAAGTAATTAGAACAGGGTTTCGGGGGCCCTTATACTATGACTCTAAGAAGGAACCCCCCAAAATAGTGTAGGTAATTATTAAGGACCCTACAGTTAGCCTTTAGGGCAAAGCTGCGTTCAAGAACCCCTTGGGGGTTGATGTAATGATGGCAAACAGCGAAGTGGCTCGTAAGGAACTACTACTTAGTTGCCGAGTTCATTAGCCCAAAAAAAATTAAACTTTCAGTTTTAGATAGGGTTTCATACTTGCAGAAAGTTTAAAGTTTATCAACCCAACTACTAAGACTACCAGAAGTCGGGAAGGATTTCACAGGCAGAGGTGCTGAGGAGGACTGGTGAACGGCCTCAACAACTCTTAGCAATGTGCCCAGAGATTTCAATATCCCTTAAGTAAGGAATATAGCTTAAATTGTAGTAGGATCCCTCGTATGATTTAAGGTATGTTCATTAATTAAGGGGTCTCTGGGTGTTGTTGGGCAGGTGTATACAATAAATACATTTGGGTTCAGCCCTGCATAGTGCTTCTCTGGGATCTGAGGACAGGGGATTGCCAAGACCCGCACCAAGAACACCTCCCACCCAAAAAGTGAAATAGTAAAATGGTATAGCACCTAACCCTCAATCCACACGTTGAAAACGTCCTCTCACCCTAAACGCTTAACCTCTTAGCGCCCCCCCGAACCTTGCAAGGGCCCGGAAAAGCAGTATGAAGTGTGAATGTCGGGAGTAGCGCAAAGGGTATCCCCACAGAATCCTTCATTAGAGGCTTCACATCTTCACGCCGAGCCTCCAAATACGGTTCAGGGTTTAGCTAGGGTTGCCCCTGAACTCCAGACCCTAAACCACAAGCAGCACAACCCTGAAGACCCCTTAGATGCAAAGCCACAAACCTGAACATGTCCCTGTTGGAGCCCTACAAACATCCGCACGAGACGCTGTAGGAAAAATCGACCCATGTTACAAGAACCATTTTGAAAACAGTCTCTCAGCCTTTAAAGCACGCCAAGGCTCCAAATACTGAACTTGCATGCGCTCTCCCGACCACCAGTTGGACAGGACACTGCCCACCAGTGGTGACGCATCGACCCTGTGACGCAAGGAGTAACATGGGGGCCTGATAATTAGAAGAAAGGGCTTGTAGGTATAGTATAATTTCAACCTAGTTAGGGACACTAATGTATTGCACTAGGCCGCTATATTTGAGCCATAAACAACAGGTGGGCTTGAGCGATGTTTACGGCACTTTGTAAGGTTGCTGCAGGGCGCTAGGTATTCTGGAATGTAGGTTTATAAGGAACGGGGTTTCAGCGGGCTTTACAGCATCCCTCTGCACTTTATGGCAGGTTCCTTAGTCTGGGACTTTTCAGCCTGCGGGGACAAGACGGTATCCACAGACTCCAATATCCGTTAATTCAGGAATATACCTTAAAATATAGTAGGATCCCTAATATGTGTTAAGGCATATTCCTCAGTAAAGGGATATTGGAGCTTCGGGGTACGTAGTTTAGGGCTCTAGGGGTTTGGTGTCTTTGCAGGTTGCTTAACTGGATCCAGGGGTTTTGAGATTCGGGTTTAAGGGCAGTTGAAACCGTCATGAAAGCCGAACTTACATAGGGTTCCTAATTACTTATGATATGAGGCGTGCTCCGTAAAGTTTTACGGCACATGTTCCGAAATTCCGTGGGTTTCTTCCCTGACTTCTGGAGTACACCTTAGTTCTGAAGTAATTAATGATAGACGATTGGCATGTAAAGCGATGCTATATGGGATACTGTCAGCCTTGCTCACAACTTGGCCAAAAAGCACTGAGGCCTTATCATCCTAAGCACTGACTGTTGCACATAATCAGGCACCATGATTATTAGAACACAGCTTTGCGGGGGGCGGGGGGTAAAACCATCTTTTAACCATACAGGGTCTAGTTATAACGGATGAACTAGGAACATACCTAATTAGTTACCTTAAGCTTCAGCACCCTAAGCTCTAAACCCTAAACCCTAAACCCTAAACCCTAAACCCTAAACCCTAAACCCTAAAGCCTAAACCCTAAACCCTAAGCTCTAAAGCCCCGAACACCCTGAACCCAGAAACCTAAACCCTCAATCCCCAAGGCCCTCGACCCAAAACCTCCAAACATTCCAGCGATTCCAGCTTCCTTGCGTGGACCCTCTTTAGGGTTTAGGGGTTTAGGGGTTTAGGGGTTTAGGGGTTTAGGGTTTAGGGGTTTAGGGTTTAGGGGTTTAGGGTTTAGGGTTTAGGGTTTAGGGGTTTAGGGGTTTAGGGTTTAGGGGTTTAGGGGTTTGTGTATTGGACCTCTATGTATGATTTGCAGGTCTCGGTTGTTTCGAAGGACGCATAGGGATAGGAGAATACAGAAACCAGTTTCAATAATTTCAATTTTTTCAAAAATTTTTCCTTTTGATGAAAACTATTGAAAAAATTGAAATTTTTGAAAAAATAAAGACCTGGCCAGGCCCGGCCGTCGCAGGCCAGGATTCTTTAAAATTTTTGAAAAAATTGAAATTTTTGAAATTTTTGAAAAAATAAAGACAATTTTTTCAAAAATTTCAATTTTTTCAAACATTTTTCCTTTTGATGAAAATTATTGAAAAAAATGAAATTTTTGAAAAAATAAAGACTCTGGCCAGGCCCGGCCGTCGCAGGCCAGGATTCTTTAAAATTTTTGAAAAAATTGAAATTTTTGAAATTTTTGAAAAAATAAAGACAATTTTTTCAAAAATTTCAATTTTTTCAAAAATTTTTCCTTTTGAGTGAAATATTTGAAAAAATTGAAATTTTTGAAAAAATTGTCTTTATTTTTTCAAAAATTTCAAAAATTTCAATTTTTTCAATAATTTTAAAGAATCCTGGCCTGCGACGGCCGGGCCTGGCCAGAGTCTTTATTTTTTCAAAAATTTCAATTTTTTCAATAATTTTCCTCAAAAGGAAAAATTTTTGAAAAAATTGAAATTTTTGAAAAAATTGTCTTTATTTTTTCAAAAATTTCAAAAATTTCAATTTTTTCAAAAATTTTAAAGAATCCTGGCCTGCGACGGCCGGGCCTGGCCAGGTCTTTATTTTTTCAAAAATTTCAATTTTTTTCAAAAATTTTCCTCAAAAGGAAAAATTTTTGAAAAAATTGTCTTTATTTTTTCAAAAATTTCAAAAATTTCAATTTTTTTCAAAAATTTTAAAGAATCCTGAGGGCCGCGCCTGGCCAGGGTCTTTATTTTTTCAATAATTTCAATTTTTTCAAAAATTTTCATGAAAAGGAAAAAATTTTGAAAAAATTGAATTTTTTGAAAAAATTGTCTTTATTTTTTCAAAAATTTCAAAAATTTCAATTTTTTCAAAAATTTTAAAGAATCCTGGCCTGCGACGGCCGGGCCTGGCCAGGTCTTTATTTTTTCCAAAAATTTCAATTTTTTCAATAATTTTCCTCAAAAGGAAAAATTTTTGAAAAAATTGAAATTTTTGAAAAAATTGTCTTTATTTTTTCAAAAATTTCAAAAATTTCAATTTTTTCAAAAATTTTAAAGAATCCTGGCCTGCGACGGCCGGGCCTGGCCAGGTCTTTATTTTTTCAAAAATTTCAATTTTTTCAAAAATTTTCCTCAAAAGGAAAAATTTTTGAAAAAAATGAAATTTTTGAAAAAATTGTCTTTATTTTTTCAAAAATTTCAAAAATTTCAATTTTTTCAAAAATTTTAAAGATTCCTGGTGGGCGACGGCCGGGCCTGGCCAGGGTCTTTATTTTTTCGAAAATTTCAATTTTTTCAAAAATTTTTCCTTTTGAAGGAGATTTTTGAAAAATTGAAATTATTGAGAAGTTTGTCTTTATTTTTTCAAAAAGTTTAAAAATTCCTGCTGGGCGACGGCCGGGCCTGGCAAGGGTCTTTATTTTTTCAATGAATCCCGGCGGGTGACGGCCTCCTTGACCGAGTGGAAAAGGATCAGCCCTTTTCTTCTTTATGAAATTGGAAGGAGCTTTCCTTTGGTTCTCGATGGTTAGGTAGAGAGTAGAGAACTCATACATTGTCGAGGGTGGGGGGGCGTCTCTGTCCTCCCTGGCTAGGAGTGAGGTGTCTTCACTCTTCTCAAGTTGAGAAGCGATTTACCAAGAGTAAATGGAGCTCTCTAGAAAGAAGCTCTCTTCTCTTACAACGAAAATGTCAGGGGGAGCTCTCTTCTTTTTCTTTTAGAGCATGAGGTGGACGACTTCTGGTTCTTTTCAAGAGGGCCAAACCTCTTTGTTTGAAGGGCTCCATCCTTTCTTTGAGCGTATGCTCTCTTCGTCTTTTGAAGGGGTAGAGGGGATAGT